ACCTGAGAGATACCACTGTTACCCAGCCTCGAGCTGGACTTCATACCAGTGAGATAAGCAATCCTGCCAGTTCTCCACCCATGTTATTATCCACTTATCCAGTCTACAACTTGTCAGTTTAACTATACCAAAAGCATGGGAGGTGGTAGAAAAGACCTTGTTGAATCAAATTAAATGTCATCTAATGCTCTTCCCTTGCCCACAGATCCAGCTATCTTATCAAAGAGGGCAACCGCATTCACTTTGCAATTATAGAGGAGGTGGCAGCTACCAGGATGTTCAAGGATTAAACATGCCTTCACCTTTTCAGAAACCAGATTAAATGATACATGAGTCCTTCTAAGTCCTCTGCAGAGCTGAAAAGCCAAAGGTCCCCCCAGAAAAATGAAAAAAAGCCTAGTTTCCTAATAGACACCCCAAAAGCAGTCCCCAGTCATAGGCAAAGTTCTAATGACACCTCATTCAAAAGGCTTAAGACTGTCAGATTATTTTGCTGGTTTTAAAACATTTTCCCTGACATCACCATAATTAAAATATCATAATTTCACAGCTTTTTTCTACCTATATCAATAAATAAAATCGCCATCAGATGACAACTCATTTTTCTTTCTGATAAAAAAACTTCTCCTTTTTTCTAAAACCTATACTTCTTAATTGCTACATATTTAATGAAAAATATTATAAACCACAAACTTCAATCATTTTTGCATAACTAAAGGAGAACAAAGACAGGTGGTCATGGGCTTAACTGAAGCATGGATGCTATGCAACTCCTGCTAACAAAGGAGATGACAGACTTCATACAACATAAAAGTCTCCAACAAATTGTTTTTTGGAGAAAGAAGCAACGGGTGGGTTTTTTTGTTGATGTTGTTATTATTTTTTAATTATTAGTTATTTCTAAGAAGATTTTAAAAGAAGGAAAAAAAACAGGAAGAAAAAAAGATTTGTGTCATAGTCAGGCTCATATACACATCCTGACTATGATCCTGCTACTGTTTCCCCAAAGTTACCTTCAGGGAAAGCTGCTTGCCCTTATACAGGATGGGATCTGGAAGAAAGATGCAAGCATGTACCCTCACGAATACAGGGATTACAACTCAGCACGCGTCAGCACTGGGCAATGTGCATGCCCATGCTGTATTGGTCCTTGGCTTTGCCATGTTCCCATGTCGCAGCTGCTCTCTCTTCTGGCAGCATACCTGGAGGTATGGCACAGCCAGCAACACATGTGAACGGCGCAGACTGGTATACACAGGCATCACAAAACACACCCAGAAGAATCTGCTGGTCCACTAACAGCACAGCCAGAGCCACTTTCATACCACAAACTCCTCAAGGGTTATGCTCCTCTGCAAAACCAAGTACCAAATGAAAAAAAGAACATGCAGCTCATTGGAGCTCTCTTAAGCTCTCCGGCAAAAAGAAGGTACCGTTCATCAGTGCAAGAACAGAAAGGTTTGCTTTTGAGGGATGTACTACAAATACTCAGCAAGTTCTTTTGCATCTAATGCAGAAAGCTGAGGCATAACTAATTCTGAAACTGACCCAGCAATTCAGCATGCTAAAGTCCCTCGCACATGCTCACTTTGAGGAAGATAATTAAAGAAACATTTTTCCTTCACAAGCTAAATCTTTGTTTGGATCACAGCCATGGGTACACAGTACTTTGCACTGTGAAACAGCACTTCCTCAGAGAGCATAGTGCATGCTTCCCTATCGGAAAAACAAACTCCACAGCATTCATGCTCCACCCCACCAACAACTGGGAATAAGTCTGAGTCCAGCATCAGCATCTGGAAGCCACATTTAGACTGAACCTCCAGCCAACCTTTGCTGGTAACAACCCCACATTTGTGCAGCATATATTCTTTCCCTCCCATTGCTCACTTTTCACACAGTTCCCCTCTTCAGGTTGCCCAAAGGCCCAGAGACACCTAAAGGCAATGGCACACCCTACAACCCCCCACAAGCCAGCCACGCTGCAACCACCCAAGCACCTCACCAGCACTGGCTCCTCCAGCAAAGCCTCACATAATTCAGGGACACCCCCCCCCCCCCCCCCATACCTGGGCTACGGCATGAGCTATCCTTACCTTCTCCCTTCCGCTCCATGAGTAGAGCATTTCCCAGCACAGGATAGCAGGGGCTGACACCCGGTATCGGCTTCAGCACCCACCATCGCCTCCAGTAATCCATCAGGGAGGGCAGGGAGCTCACAGCCACAACTGCCAACAGCAGAGCAATGACCCCAGCCCCCAGCTGCAGCAGCTGGGGTCCCCCATCAGCTCCCTGCATGACCCCCATCATCACCTCCCAGCCTCCTGCTGCAGTCCTTGATCCCTACTGGAGAATGAGTGCTGCCGGTACTGCGGTACTCGCCTTTGCCTTCACCCAGCTGAGCTTGCCAGGACCAAGGCATCAGAAAAGGAGGCGGAGCTGTCACACAGGCCCTGAGGGCAGCTTCCTGCCGGGAAAATAAACAGAGATCTGAAAAACACGTGTGTGGAGAGGCTGCCTGCAAGCACTGCCTGACAGCAGAACAGCCACAGGGAACAGTGCTGTCTCCCTGCCCTCACTCGGTTCCTCTGACTCAAGTGAAGAATGAGTAAGTTCTTTGCAGGGCCGTGCAATGTCACAGAAAGAAAAGACACAAACTGCTGCTAAGAGAAAAAACCCACCTTTTTGTTGTTTTGGAAATGGTGGGTTTTCTCAAAATTGCGTCTCTACATCTTTTTTCAGGTGCTCAGGGAACACCATTTTGCCATACATAACTGCTCCAGTGATCTTGAACATGATGCCTGAAAGGTTTCAAATGCTTCAGGTGGGTAGTACCTTCCCTCAGTTGGGTGGATGGCTTCAGTGGTTTACACAAACCAGAGCCTGTACAGACCCACAATCAGGAGCACCACTGCAAAGCACGCTCGTGCTTCATGGCTCAAATAGCCTTTACTGATCTCACTGTTGAATTCTCAGTCACAGGCTAAAGGATGTCAGTAACACAACTGGTAGCACCAGCACCTGTGCCACAACTTGCAAAGTGCTTGGGCAGTGATGCCATACACACCATAGGCCCTGCTGCCCTTCCTGCTTCAGGAGGATCCAAGATCTCTTACTGCTGCAGGGCTGCTGATTGCATACTCCTCAAAGCTTCCAGTGCTCAAAAAATCCTTGTGACCAAACAGAAGTTTGGTGAAAAGACACGAGGTCTTCCTTCCCTGAACATACCACAGAAGTTTCTTACAGCCATGGTCATGTTTCTGCCATCTGCTTTGTACCAAAATCGACTGCACTGGCATTTCCAGTAAACCAGCAGCAGCGACCTTAAGGGAAGAAACACAGAGAAATCTTAGAACATCAGAAGTAAAAACATCAGAGTAAATTTGGGCACTTTGTTCCTGCAATTTCCCAGCAAACACTTCATCATAAATACTGACTGTTGCAATTTTTTGCAATGTAAACAGCTGGAAATTAACTCTGTCATTCTTGCTGTTATTTGCAATGGTTTATGACAGAAAGTAGCAGATACATACCCTGTCTTGCTAACACATAAGGTAAGCTACGTGCCATCAGTCCCCTCTTTTGCTCAGGTGACTTCCCAGGAAGGAAGCATTCATGCAGGATTAAGAGGCTCACCTTTTGTATAGATAAACTATGTAATTATGCTCTTCTTTATAAAAAACCTTGCAGTTTGTTGCCTTCATGAAGCTGATAACTAGATGAAGTTGTTAATTGTGATTCTGAGTCAAAATCTGTGTTTCTAACTACTCATAACTCCTTCTGTAGGAAAAAAAAATGAGGAACAGTGAAACAGCAGGGACAGGGAGAAAAATTCACAGGGAAAGCAGTAGGGAGCGTATCTGAACAAACATTGCAAAATCCTGTCAGCAGCTGGCAGTGGTAATGCTGCTAACAAAAGGCAGCAGCTGTACTGGAATGAGATACCCAAGAAAGAAAAAATGAGAGGTCTGGTATATGTGAGGCCTAATTACATCACGGAGACTTGCAATCACTACAAACCTTGGAGGATGTTCTGTAGGAGAGGAGTTTTCTACCAGATTCTGATTAGCACTCCTTTTTCACATGGAGAGCTACTTGCTCAGTGTTGAATTTCAGTTTGTGAATCTTTGCTTTTATAAATGCATTTAACAGAACTAATCTGTTTTTACTCAGCCTTTCACCTAAGTGGAAATCCTACCTGCCCATGCCACAGAAGGCATGCATTCTGTCAGGCTATGTCAGTCTACAAGCACAATGGCAACACAGACTTCTGCTGGTCCCTAGAATTCACATCTGGATTCTTTGATAAGGAAATCAACAAAGTCTTCATTGCCAGCAAGAAAAACAAAGACCTAAAGCAAGGCTAAAATGAATGTGGTACAACACAAGAACAAGAGTACACAACACATTCTGAAAAACTGTGATGTGCTCTTTACATTAGTTCTTTGCTCCAGCCAAGGAAAATCATGTTATCATCCCTTGCAAACACACAGCATCTGCACTAAGCAAGAATAACCAGTTACTAGCTTAGTAATCACATTTAATTTGCAGTTATGAAGGGTTTTTCTTAGGAACATGATTAAACTTTCTACATGATTTACTTGCACGGAAAAAAAAGTGCCAGATGACAAACAACTCTTCACTGTGTGGTCCCACTTCTGCCATTACAGAACCAAAGCACTGCATGTTCTTTTAGTTCACAATGTAAGAACTGCCATGGATTTAAAGGGACACATTTTGCCCTTGATCCTCTGCATTTTTGTCAATACATACTACAGGCAGGAGCACTCATGAGAGCAAAAGTGCATTTTGGACAAACCGCTGAAGATGATGGTGCGAATTTCAAACATTTTGAAGAAACTGCATCAAACTGACATGCAACTGTATGAAATCAACCTGCAACTTCAAAGCAAAAGCATTCTGCTTTCTCAGATACTATACCATAATATCACCAGTGAGTAAACTTAGCGTAGCCAAAGAAAAATACTAAGCCAAGAAAGTAATTTCAAAATGCTTTCATTTACTCAAAAGAATGCATCACTTGATGACCATTTACAAAAACCAGAACTCTGATTAACAGTACAGAAATAAAACATACATTACAGATGCTTTTCCTTTCATTACCAATGCTTGAAAATTCATAACAAGCACTGAGGAGAACCAGTATTAGTTCCCAAGCAGAAGAAACTGTTCCTGTTCTTAACTGCACAATTTGGGCAAATAATTGTTTCTTCTCCTCCCTTTCCCTTTCAACAGCTCTTAAACACAGCTACTTAAATTGCTGTCTTTCTGATGGGCAGAGGAATTCCTGACTGTGAATGCACTCAGTGCTATTAGCCAGGGACCTGATCAGGGCTGTGATCTTTGGGAAGAATGCAGTCCCAGTCTCCTCTTTGATCTTCCTGTCTGGGTCTACACAAAGAGATACAAAATAATGCTTTCATCAGTTAAGTACGTATTTTTCTGTTAAAACTTTGAAGGCTTGGATATTTCAAAATGTGATTAATTTGCCAAGTAACAGTCACTATTTTATATGGAATGTGAACAAGTAGGAACAGTCTTACCAACTTGTTAGTACGCAGGTTCAATTGCTCAGCATCTACAAATACATTTGGCCTAGCAGGTAAAACATTACTTCCTATAAACAAAGTTTATCCCAGCAATTCCCATAGTTAACTGACAATTAGAACAGCATAAGTAGAAGCAATGAATTAATATAATCTCAAAAGAATTAAAGGAAGGAGAAAAATTTGTGATAGACAACATTTACAAGAAAGCCACTGCAGTAAGTAGACAGACTGAAAAATGGAGTAATGCTAAAACAGAAGTTAAGATAATATACCGCAAACTACTGCTTAAAAGTACATATTTTATGTATGACTGATATTTGGATAGACTAGAACATCTTGAACAGTGAGGAAACACGAAAAGGTGGGAACAGAACTTCATGGTCTGAACATAACTTATTTGCTTCTATGGGAAGAATAATAATTCCCTAAGGAAGGATAGAAAAAGGAGGAATGCCTGAGAATAAAGTGCAGCAGTAGCAGCATCTTGACGCTGCAGAGTGGACACCTCAACCATTTATTTCATTTTGCTCTGATTTTTAATCTAACCTCTGGTCAAACAGCTTTTAAAGAAGGCAAAGCAGGCATCCTGAGAATTGAAAGGCTCAGCAGAAACCAGCATACTGCACATGTTCTTTGTTACACAAGATACTAGCTGGCAAATTTAGCAGTTCAATCTTCCATTCAGTGCAGAAAGGTTCCGTTTCTTCCTAAAATGAGTTAAGAAGCAGTCTGAAATCTCTTCCTAGAGGTTGGAGGATTTATCTGAAAGGATCTGTACTAATGCTGTAAGCCTAGAAAAGATAAAATATTGTTTGTTAATTGTGGCAGAATCTGAAAGATGCTCCAAGACTGCATGAGAGATACTTCTATCAGCCTGCTTAGATCAGTGTTTGCTAATGCACCCTTATTCTTACATTTTCTATAATTATGAAAATCATATCATTATGTAAACTTAAGGAACTTCCAAATTAATAAAAATTACATACAAGCACTCAAATATCTCAGGAACTTGACAGTCAGCTTTATTGTAACCATGGAACTAAACAAACCACACAGGACTGCTCTCTTTTTTTGGTGTTATAAATGAAAGTTGCAAATCAGTATTTATTTTCTCATTTATTTTTCTACTTATGATAAAAAAGCAAATTTTCAGTTTCATTTTATCCCACATTAAAAAGTTGACTCAGTGAATTTATATGGGGCCTAAAATAAAATTTATGTCATTAAACAATTCTAGTATGTATCCGAGTTGCTACTCTAGCAGCTGCAAAACATCTAGGCTGTGGACCATATACTCTTCCCATAACTGTAAATATGCTGAAATCTTTAAAAAAATATATATACTAAGATGAGGGGGAATCCTTTACCTTCCACATCATAAGAATGAAACAAAGATTTGCAGGATTCCTAACAGTCAGAGTAGGGCTGTCTCATACAAATAAGAAGGAACTTGAAAACCAAACTCAAAAGGTCTTGAGCAAAGCACACCTGTTGTTCTTTGATGCCAAGATGGCTCTCGCTGAGTGCTTCCTGACTATACAGTGGGTTAATAGGTTTTGCTGGCCTTTTGCCTTCCAAGTAGTTCTTACTTTGCCTGCCTATTAAAAATCGTTGACCTGTCCCTCTGTGGTTAGCAAAATCCATGGGAGTCAGTGATCTCTTCTGAGGTGTGCCTGTCTGTAAAATGGAAAGACATATGCCCTGAGTTCAGCAGTAGCAGTCATTTTTTTCCCTTCTTAGTAGCTGATGCAGTGCTGTGTTTTTGACTTTCAGCCTGGGAACAATGCTGATAACACCGATGTTTTTAGTTGCTGTTCAGTAATGTTTACGCTGACCAAGGACTTTGTGAGCCTCATGCTCTGACAGGGAGGAGGGGAAGCCAGGAGGAAGCAGAGACAGGACACCTGACCCAAACTAGCCAAGAGGTATTCCATACCACAGCACATCATGCTCAGGGTGTAGAACTGGGGGCAGTTACCAGAAGGGTTAGATCACTGACAGAGTCGTGCTGGGTATTGGTTGGCAGGTGGTGGGCGGTTTTATTCTCTTCCCTTGTTATTTCCCTTATCATTATTATTATTGGTGGCAGCAGCAGTGATTTGTGTTATACCTTAGTTACTGGACTGTTCTTATCTCAGTCCATGGGAGTTACATTCTTTCGATTCTCCTCCCCATCACTCTGGGAGGAACTGGGGAGAGTGAGTAAACAGCTGCATGGTACTGAGTTACTGGCTGAGCTTAAACCACGACAGCATACTAATGTTTATCTGCTGAAATAGTTTGATTACAGTTTTTATGAACAAGTCCAGCAGAGTCATACCAAGCTGCAAAGCTCTAAATAGTAGTAAAACTGCACACTTATAGTGCATAGACACCCTCAAAGGAACTGGTTGATGCATTAGACTTGAAAAAATCTCTTCCTCATACACTAATCCTGCTTCTCAAAGTCCCACACCCTCCCAAAGACTTTTAACATCCTCCTCTCTACAAGCAGTAGGAATTCCTCTACATCAAAAATCAGGAGAGAACCAGTAAATGAGATCTTCCATAGACTAACAGTGGGCATGAATGGCAGCTTCTTCACTTTTCCATGTCCCTACTTGCATTGCAACATACCCTGAATGTATGAGTTGTGTTGGGCCTTGAAAATTGATCAGTAACAACAGTTCTTTCTCTGAGTGGCTGTTGCTCTCTACTGCCAGGCACTGCACTTGACACTCTGCTACGAGCATATCGTCCTCGATGCTGAGAGAATTAAAAAGAGCATTAAAAGAATGCAGCAATTGAATTAGTTATAATAAAAAAATTTCTGTTGCCAAACAAAACAAACAAACAAAAAACAATCAAACCCACAAAAGAAGAAGAAAAATATGTTTCCACTAACCGAAAGCACCGATTTAAGGTAATTTAAGGATACTCATGTTTTGCAGATTTGAGTGCCTCCTAGTAGTTTATAAAGCCCAAAGATTTCTATTAATTAAAATAATAGATGTTATGCATGTCTCAATTCAAAATACTACTCAACATAATTCAAGAAATTATTATTATATCTCAACATGCCAATTTATTATTTCCATATCCTTCGAAAATAAATATCAGTCAGATTTATCTGTTTTTCCAGTTGTCATACTTTTCTACTTCAGTCAGCGTAGTTTTCTACTTTTTATAACCTAACATTAGTGAATAAAACACTGAAAAGAGGTAACCAGCCAGCCAGATAGTAACCTTGCACTTATTTGCCTCTGGATTTTTCACATACTTTTTTTTTTAACCAGATTTTTCTGTTGTCAGAGGAAAGTCTTTCCACCATGATTTGTTTGTGACCTGAGGTTTTAAACTGGCTTCTCTTGCATTCTAATAGTAACCTAATGCAACTCACAGAAGCATTTTAAGACCATGTATTAAATATGAGCCAATACAACCTGTAAAACTGCTCATTTCAACCAGTGACACAGAGCAATTTATTTCCGAATAGCTTGAAGTTCGTCACAAGTACAAAAAACCAACACAACTTACAGAGTTCTGTTGCAGTCGAGGTACTGAAAGACATTTTTCAACAGCCTCTGAGTTTATTGGTGGTAATTTGTTCCGGGTGTTAGATGAACGAGCAGAAGATAAACGATCTGAGCCAGCACCCCTACAGAATTTAAAGGGTTCCTCTTTTAGGAAAATTCATATTCAAGACTTCTTCACTGAAGTAATATGAAACTATTAAGCAGTATATTTCTTTATAGAGCTCAGCTACAGAAAGTAACAGTACTTGACAGAACAACAAAACAAAAAACCCGACAAATGCTTCTCCCCAAAAAACACTGTTCTGCTTGTTTTCTTTTTCTCCCTGAATTCTAGAATCAATAATAAATCTCAGGTTAGTTCTCAACTATTTTGTAAAAATCTTTCACTGGTGATATTTCAGTAAAGCTCTGAAGAAAGCAAAGAATAAAACGAAAAAACTCACAATTTAGTCCCCCTAAGGATTTCATCATTGTATATATTAGGAGCTTTTGAGGAGAGTTGGTCAGAAGTGACAGAAGGTAACCTACAATGGCTTGGTAGCTTCCTAGAAGGTGCCAGCAGTACCCGAGATGATGAGAGAACATTGTTACGGGCAATTCTCCCCAATCTAGCGTGCACTGAATTTGGAGCACTAGAGCCAATTCTATGCTGTTTGTCTTCTTGCTCATTCCTAGGGAAAAAAAAGAAGGACAAGAGAGGGAGCAAGGATTAAGGAGAAAAAGAATATTTCTTAACACAGTATCATTGCAAGCTCTACAAATCATTATCACATCAGTGATACACACAAAGGAGATTATTGCCTTTTCATAATGGCAAAACATTTTCTACATAATATGAATTATGCTACATTTTGAAAATGTCAATACCAACACCTACTGTATTTTTTCTACTGTGGCAACATGTCTCTGTTGGAGTGGTTTTGCTTGAATTGTCATCACACCATTCAAATCACTAAAGTTGCTGGAGAAACGGTGAACCTAGTAAACGCACAAATAAGCATTAATCTTTACCTTTCTTGAAGAAGACCTCAAAAAGCACATAGTAGATGCATTATATACATAGTTTTGCTTATTTTAAACAGATTCCTACAAACAGAACTTGGATAATTTAGTTACAGAATTACAACTCAATTTGCAATGTAAGTGTCAGTTGAAGATGAGTCTGATTTTCCAAAGCACAAAATAGGAGCCAGGGGACAAAAAGAGGAGACAGCAAGCAGGACAAAAAGGGGCAATTTATCACTATACACATGAGCTTCCACAAAGGGAGTGCACTGGTGCATGTACTGCAGGGTCCCCTTTTACAAGAGGCAAAGGAAATAAAAAGGAATGCAAGAGTCTGAAGCTTGCAGGGTTGTGAGTAAAGTACTTCAAGTTGCAACTTCCCATCCTGCAGGCCAGGGAAGAGCCTGATTTGTTCTCTTGATTCTACCAAGAGGAAATGACTGGACCACAGTAAAATCCCAATTATTTTCAAAGGAGAAGAATACAATCTAACAAGTGGATTTTGTAAACCAACTTCAGCAACATCTTAGTGGTAAACGGCACCTTTAAGAACCACCAAAGATGACATGATAGTAACCAAGAAATGCACATTTAATGAACACTAAAAAAAAACAGGAAAGAAAAACAAAAAAGCGCCTTTTCTATATTCAGCCAGGACTATCCAAGGTCAGCAGAAAGGAGAACACCGTCACCTGTGAAGTTATTTTATTTTTACCTGTGAGGAAACAAAATGAGATCCAAAGGATACACTTTGTGCTTCAGAGCCTATGGAAAGAGGAACATTCCCAGCATCTGCCGTAGTACGAATGACTGGCAAATGTGGCAATTTTGCTGTAACAGCTTTCAGTTTTTGCACCTGTTTGTCACACTCTGAACAAGAGTAAAAAAAAAAAAAAAAAAAGAAAAGAAAAGAAAAAAAGAAAAGAAAAAAGAAATAGAATAAAATGTATTTGGTATGTTTACAAGACATCTTTTCTTGGGATTCAAACAACATTACACTTTACAGTAAATAAAGATGTTCATATAGCTTTAAGTTTCCATGTTATTTAAAAACCTAACAAATTGTGTGTTCCTCAAAGCATTTCCATTTGTTTATGCAACACTCTGACACTGACAAACAAGATGGTTTATACAGGTAGAGTTGGAGGGGTGTGTTTTCTAAGAAAACATTGCTAAGACTCGTGGAATGTTATCTTTAAATTCCCAAAGACTATTTTTTTAAGCAGGTAGAAAAAAATTATATATATATACACATATATATATACTTCCATATATATAAATATATGTATAAAGTCTATTGATCCTAATCTTTGCTTGACAGCAGCTACACAGCTTCATTATGGGTATATACTACCATCTTCTTCCTACTATAAACCCAACTTCTTTCACATTCCTAGATGAAATACTTTGGTTAGCTATCAATTTGCCATCAGTTTATGCCCTTCATGAAGATAAAAGAGCACACCTATCATATTATTGCTGAACTATCCTCCATAAACTATCCTCCCTATACTTAATATTGTGCTAAGCAACCCACCTGCTGTGTGAAAAGCCCTTTGATACTTCAGTAACACCTGAAATGTTGTGACACTGCGAGTATTCTGAGAAATTTTGTCATTTCTCACTTTGTTGTAGACTTACATTTCAGGTTGAGTGTTCCTTACATTTGAGGTAATTTCCAAAACCTATCCATAGATAAACTTGTCACTGTCCTTTTAAAATACATAGAAAGAAGAACTGAAATTTCTCTCAGCTTGCAAAGGCAACACATGCACACTGAATAGGATTTCATTTCTAGTTAATTTTCCTAGCTTTTTCTTTTTCTCTCTACAGTCTGTTAGAATACGAAAACATAAAATTATATGCATCACCATTTCTTCATCCTATGTTAAACTCCACATTGTCATCAAGACTCTCTCTTTTTAACAATCTGACTACGTAAGGAGTTTTTTTATTAACAGAGCTCAAACAATGAGGACTAGGATACTTTGATTCCTATGTTCCAGATTCAGATCATGTCACCAGTGATCCCTTGCCAACAGCATCAATGTGCATCCTGAGCCAGCAATTCAGATTTTAGTCTTAAACTTGCTCTCCTGCAATTAAGCTCTTTCAGTCTATATTCTTCCCTTTCTTACACCTCTCATACAAAAATCCCTGAAAACTAGTAGGAATGTTTGTATTTTAGGTGTGGGTGGGCGGGTGGGTGGGTGGGTGGGTGTGTAAGTGTGCACACACATGGCAAGTTATTACGTATCTTCTAGTGCTTTATTACCAACATGGTTATCTTAAAACACACAGATTTCCTAAGCTTTATTTACAACAGGGCTGGTGGGAGGGGGAGAGACAGCAAGGAAATCATTTTAGTGAGTTAGAGTCAATAAATACCATATCTGAAAATATCAAATACCTGTGACATTAGTGTCCCAATTTTTTTTAATCAGTTCCTCCAATATTCCAATTATATTGCTCCAGATACAATCAAAAACCTCAGAAGCCACAGCATCTTTGATACAGGCATTGGGAGAAACAGGGGGAATGCCACGTTTACTCCTCTTCTCAGCGAGGCGCATTTTCTTTTGTTCCCAACTCTCATCATCACTAATAAAGAAAGCAAATTCAAATGAATTTTCTTCCCCTCCTTCTAATACGCCAAGTGAATAGAAACATACATATGGAAGAAGAGCCAGTCAGATGTAGATAACAAAAAAAAATCAAGTTCAAGCATACAGAGTACCTATGGGAACAGAACTTACTGAATAAATATAATGATCTTTTGCTTGCAGGTGAAAAATCAGAAAATTCAGTCGGGACATTACAACAAAAAGATCTGCAGGTCTAGAAGGAACAGCTTTATACACAGCACTTAGTCATTTGAGACTAGATCCTATGCTTTTAAGCACAACTTAAGGGAACTACAGTCTGCTGCAGTTAGCAGACAGACTATCATATATAATAGTTGTTTTTCTCGTCCTGTTTAACTGCACACATCTGCAACACTCTACCACTGACCAAAGACAAACAACTTTAAAGGATTTCTGCGGACTGCCAAGAATAGCAGAGCCCATAGCCTTACGCTTACTTCATTCCCTCCCACCACTGTGTGGACACTTATATTTTTACTTTCTTCCCCTCCCTCCCTAGGGAAGCAAAGTGTAACAACATTTTCTAACTTGATCTTCTAATACACCTCTCAGGAAGAAAACTTTAACCTTTTCCTTCTTTTAATGCCTTTTTTTCTTTTCTGAGATTAGAAGGATGATCCTGAGAATTCTTAAATCCAAACCCAAATCCTTTCCAAAAAAGGCAGCCACCCAGGCCCCCCCTTTCAAAAACAGGACCGAAAGGATCTCAGTCTGGTTCTTCTGTTTTTCAGAACAATCATGTATTTTAGCATAAAAAGCTCTGCTTCTGACCCACTAAGTCCTACCACAGTTTCCCCCTCATAAAGGCGTTCTAGAAAACAGCACATTATGGTCTTTCATCCACCCATTAGCCTACTTGCTGGAACATTAAATCAGCTCACAGGAAAATTGGGTTGCACTGTGAAGTGGACAGTTCCATGATTCCTGCCACTCACAAGAATGCTCTAAATGCAGGTTGTATCCTGCACCTCTCCTCACAAAGCTGTTATACACTGCACAGAAAGAATTTAATATTCATTAAGACAGACAATGAGAGCATGTACAGTGTAATGAACCTAAACAAACTGGTACTCAAGGCACTTACTTGAGGGGAACGGATTCCTTCATTCTACCCTCAATCTTAAAAATCAGATAGTAATTTTATTGAATCTCCATGCACAAAACACCTCAGAACAATTAGTTCCTCTTACACAGGAGATGTGAATTTTGAACCACTAGAAAGACAACATACCTAATCTTCCTGCCCAGTGAGTGCTACCAAACACAAGGACAGAAGAAACTGTATCTTACAGAGGAGAAACACAGCTTATGAACACAGACTGGGTTCACTCATAAGTTTTTCATTATATTCTTCAAAAAATACATGTATCTGTTATTTACAGCTCCTTGTTGTCAAAAGCAAGATATTCTTCTATTTTTCCATCCACATCATAGATTTCTTCTTCCAGGAATGAATATATGGCTGAGTCAGAAGCAGAAATCCCAGTGGAACTTGAATCCAGTGATTTATGTACTGGAGATGCTGTTGAAATCAGTTTAGAACCTGAAATGCAGAGCCTGAAAAAAAAAAATCAATAAAATGAAAATTAAATACTCAAAGAAAGAAGAAAGTGCATTTTTAGTTATACTGAAATATATAATTTCTGTATAGTTTCAGTAATACAAAAGTAATTATGTACGTATTTCTGAAGAGGGAAAACCAATACAAAGGTGTTAAAAAGTGGACATACTCCTTTATGCTACTAGTACATTCACGAAGGCCAGGTAAACACTTAGTATCCACATGGGTATCACTTCTGCTCTGAAAATGCTGAAAGCCTTCATCTTTCGGCAACAAGAGTTGCTTTCCTAGAACCCTGAATAAAAAGGAGAGAGCAAGTGATATCTTAGATGAAAATTCATTCCATATAGAAATATCAAGAATACAAATACCTGCAAACAGTAACCAATTCCCCTTTCACATCCCTTATTATCAAATGACACAGAGCTCCCAGATTTCTTCAGCTCATTCTCAACCTCTTGGACTTTAGATTTGAATCAGAAAATCGTTAAGTGTAGGGAATCACTTAGAAATTCCACTCAGTGAAAATACTCTAAAAATACAGTGAAATGACTTAGTATTTTGAATTAATTGCACATCATAAAAACCTGTCTCCATTTTATGCATGTTCTGTTAATTTTTACAGTATCTAAACAAGGCAAAGCATTAAGCAAAGCATGGCTTAATGCTAGTGAAGACTGCCACAGATTTATCACTTCTTTCCTGTCCTCAACAAAATGCGATAAACTTTGTTAGTTGATTTTAATTTATATTTACTAGTAACAAGCCTCTGCAAATTATCTAAAAGCATTCCATAGCTTACTGACAACATTCCTTCCAATGGTGTAACACTACTGACAGACATGCAGATCTACGTTTAGATCTATACTATCTATAGCTTAGAGTCACCACATCTCAAAGTGACATGACATCATTTATGAAGGCAGGACAGTACAACACAGTGCAACACTGGCTGCAGTACAACATTGACTGCTGACCCCTGTGTTACATGAAGCAGTCATCAGGCTACACATCTATGCAAAAAAATTGTAATTAATCATGTATGCATCCTTATATCTGTTCAAATAGTTATTGCCAGATTAATATCACACTTTGTTTTACATTGATTTACACTTCCTAGGAAGACATGACAGCTATGCAGTATATGTGAAGCATGTGATCACCTTCGTTTTTCATTTCTTTTTAGAACAATCAGTAACAGAATTAATACCGAATTTCTTGGAATTTCATAGTATTTTCACTTACAGTAAAAACAAGTGGGATTTTTTACAAGATGTATTCTTTATTTAGAAAAAGTTATTATGAAAATGGGGCATTACTATTTTCTCTTTATATCCTGTTGAAGTATCCTTGCCTGCAATCATTGTGTTAAGAAAAAATAGATCATTACCTGCTAGTGCACCACCATCCAGACTTACTGGGTAACTATGTCACAGCTCTGAGAAGTGTTGTGATGCCATACATCACGAGCTATTCATAAGGGGGTACCCCAAAAATTCAAATTAGAGTGATAGACCAGCAAGAAGCTTCATTACCTTAGATGAGGAAATTGTTCAACCCAGTCTGCACATTCTGCCTGCAGGCTCTCTGTTTGGGAGGTCACTTTTCCTTCAAACAGCATTTCATCAATCTCCCAAAATAACTGATGCACTCTCTGCGTGTTGGCTTTATCAAATTCCTACAGATTATAAAATTAATAGTTGTTAGCAAATATGCATATTTACTAAAAAAACGACAATATTTAAAGAACAGGACAACCTGGAGCGATTTGGCTGAGCATCTCAGAATGGATATTCAGACTACCTACTTCGGACACACTATATACCACAGTGCAAACAAAAATAGCTGGCTTGAGGCTAGCAAAAGCCATAATTGGAAAAATGGCCTTCCACACCATTTCAATGAAGATATAACTCAGTGCAACCAGAAACAGGTGAGTGCAGTGGCATATTAAAAGAGCAGAGAAGCACCTCACTAAGGACCCAAGCACTTAACTGAGGGTTCCTCAGCTGGGGCACTGTTCAGAACTATGTTTGCCACTTAGATACTTTAATACTCTTAAAAAAAGTGGCAATACCCTTGAAAAAAGGGCCCAAATCATGTCTATTTCCTTCCAGCTGAGTGCCCCCACTTCAGGCTACAGAAGAGATCACACCAAAAAGGAATAGGAAAATAACTCTCCTGGAGGGCTGGCAGGGACAGATAGGGTCAGTAAACTATGCAAAAGGTATGATAGAATTACCACTACCAGCCATGGATGGCTTTTTAAAATGAAAGTGGGAACAACTGCAGTGTTTTTGGATTTGTCCAACATTGCCTGCCTGAACCAGCTGTGCCACAGAGGTCAGCCTCCATAACGGGTTTAATCTTTTTCTGTATCATCTATGAAACAGAACTAAGCTTAGGTAAGAGCTATACATACTGATATTGAGACATTTACATTCATGTTCATGAATGCACTTTGTGACTCAAAACACCAAGAACAATTCAATTTAAACATAGCCACCATTATACAGTATTTGAAAGCACTGTGTTTTATCACCTTATTGGACACAGAAACCTAAGCCTACCTTCTTTGGTAAGACAACTTTGTTGTCCCCAGATTTCATAATTTTACATTTTTATTCCATTTTCCTTTGTTACACATCAGCTGCACAGATACGAATGCAAATAAAACTGTTTGGTTTTTTTTAATATTTAATTAACACAATCACTAGGCTCTTCTGACTGAAAGTGGTTAACTTCTACAGGAGGTGCTGCATGTCCATTTTCTGTAAAAAAGCTGATCTTTTCTACAATATTTACAGAAAGAGTATTGTAAAAGTTTCTGTGACGTACGTCATCCCTCCAGGAGTAAGCTGAACTTTCGGTAGACAAACCAGTAGTATAGCTCTTTATTCCAAACCAAGATTTATTCAGGTCTGTGGGTGTTGTACAACCACTAGATGTAATTGATGAAAGTGTTTCACTGTGAAAAGACAACAAATTTAAATGAAGATCACAATGGCTTTCAATATAAACATTCTGAAAGTAATACAATTGATCACATAAATGAACACTGACATACATTCATAGAATCATAGAATGCTTTGGATTGGAAGGGACCTTAAAAATCATCTACTCCCAACTGCCCAGTTTAGCTAATGGGCACATGAAAAACTACACATTAAAGATAACATAAGCCTTCTTTAACTCCATTAGAAGGTGTCACAAGAAAAATCTTACAAAACTGAACACAACATCTCTACAAATGTTCCAATGAGGATTGAGTTGTATGTCAATACGCCGTCTTTTAAGCTGTTAGACCTGGTGTACTTTAAGCCTTGTACTCCAGAATACTAGCTCTCAGAAAGATCTACCTGGTCTCTGCTAGCTACCACCAGTCCTCAGATGCAGTGAAAGCAAGGCTTGTCAGATGTGCAGGCCATGCAAAGCCTAACCGGTGCCAACTGGAATAAAACTTTTTGAAAGTTAACTGACCGGCAATGCTGGTGAGCATGATTTGCATTTAACCATGAAGTTCGACTTCCCTTCCAGCGTTAATCAGTGCTCTTAACTATACTCTAGAAATACACAAATCCATAACAAACCAGGACTAAAGTTCAAACCCTCTAAACAATGGGTTAGGTCAACCTGCATTATATCCTATAACAGTTGTTATCTGTAAGAATGATCTTTAAATACCTATTTAAGCCAAGAGTCCTTTAAGGACGTACTATTCCAGAAGTGCATGCATACCAAGTATAATTGTTGATGGCTTCCTGTACATTTCTCGCAAAAACTGCTGGAAGAGACTCTCCACTTTTTCCAGAAAGACACTGATTTGTGGAACCTCTGGACAGTCCCCTCCTATAAACACATAAACAAATAATTCCATAATATTAAATAAGGTTAACTTGCACCTCCACTGGAGAGAATAGACAACACTCTTGAACTTTTTAATCCTATCCATCAGCATAAATATTTGCTTGAAACACACTGCCTTGTTTTAAAATAGTTTTTATTTACCTTATTTACATAAGTATTTTGGGGGGAGGGGGAAATATCTGAGACTTATTTTACTCCACAGGCATCTTCCTTCAATTCCGTGGTTTAAAATTTGCCTGAATCACACACAAGTGGAGCAGCACCTCACTTTTGCAGGAAGGGAGCAAAGGCCAAACCCAGCAATTGTCCATACAGCAGATAGGTATTTTGGTACGTGTTTCTGTTCAATCATTAACATAGAGTCCACTTTCTCACATGTCTCTCTACATAAAGAGAAGTTTCAGATATGGTGCCAAGCAGACAGTGGTCTTTACTGAAACTATGAACTCGCAACTTGGCTGTTTTAAGTCAACCCAGATACTAGTACATCAGGAAACACACGCATAGTCTCAGTATGTTTACAAGCCACAGAGCATCAGTTTCTCCAGTAACAAAGACTCCTTAACACCTTCTCAAAAACCAAGCCACAAACTTCCTAGTGTTATGCCTTTCCAGCATAAGAAACACTAGAACTTGTCTTTTTTATTTCTCCAAATACCTGGACACATGCTCAAACTTTAAAACCATCCCTTACAAATCACATGGATGAATATTAAGATACAGTAAGGCTCAGGAATGCCTGCACTTCTATTACTAGCCTAAAAAGAATACCTTTCAATGAAGGAACTTTTTTTTTTTTTTTAATGGAAACTCTTTATAATCACACATCCTACTAAATTCTGTCATTAACGTGTTAAACCCACCTCTTCTGAATATACACTGTCAAATAGATGAGTCAAAGTGCTGCTCAGAAACACTTTTACAGCAACAGATCGCTTCAGCAGTGAAAGTTCCTATTTTCACCCCATAAATCTCAGGTCATAACTGTGACTAGCAGCATGACTGCATCAAAGTACATTTGTGAATCAGTAACTGTAAGGAAACAGTGCACAGTTCAAGAGTTTTCCTGATTTCTTTAGCCAAGAAATGCAGACTGGCCCTGCAACACTTGGGACTGCTCTATTTTCTTCCTATCCCTTCTGATACTTATCTTGACTTTACACAGAATATTGTATACATATGCCAAATCTAACTCTCCATTCAATGGACCACATCACCACTCCTCATCAGGGGAGATCCTGAATTGCAGATTGTTGGAGGCTGGTCCAACAGCAGTAGAAAGCATCGCTATGTATTTGCTCTAAATTTCTTCCCTATTCCCTAGGCACCTGGTTTTGGCCACCATCAGCACTCTAGTTATTTGTCTGTGCAAGAACCCTTTCTTTTTGTATTCCAGCTTTCCATTTACTTGACCGTCTTTTGGCAGCCCAAGATAACTGACTGGATCTCCTGTATCTATAAGGCTTTCTGACTTCTCAAAAAGAGCCGAGTGGGGGTTTTTGTGGCTTTGAAGAAAATTTGAACCTACAAACATGGGGGGGAGGGGGGACAGAAAAAAAGAAAAAGAAAACAATTTCATGGACTTCATCTGTGAAACAAAGCACAGGCATTATATGTAATGGCATAATACATGACATGAGATGGAGAAAACTGCCACATGGTGCCCCTACATGCTGTGGTACTACCCCCCCCGACTCCTTAGACCACATGCAATAAGATGAGCCAGGAAACAATCTCAATGAAATAAAGCAAACAAGAAAACCCCTCCCAGCGCATCCATAGCACGCTTCTCCAGCGCTGCCAAGCAAAGGCCAGCGACGGCAGCCCTAAGCGAGGTCTCTGCAGTTGCAGGCCCCAAATGATGACGGTACAAATAATAGCGCTGTCAGCCCACACCCGCGCGGTGCTCGAGCCGCCCTGGGAGAGCCGGCGAGCCGGGCCCAGCGCCCTCCCCGCGGCACGACACACTGCTCCGCCAGCCCTGTCGCTTACACTCACCCCACGACGAGGAGCCCCCGATCGCTGCCGCAACCTTCCGGGCCAGCGCCCCGCGACCGGCGCATCGGGGACCCCAGGGGCGGCGCGGCGAGAGCCCCAGACGGCCCCTCGCACCGCCCCGGCCCCTGCGGCGCGGCGAGGAGGCGGCCCGGCACCGCCCGATCCTGGCCCTGGCCACGGCCCCGCGCGGCGGGGGCTCTGCAGTTGGATTCCCCCCGACCCGCTCCCCACCCGCCCAAGGGCTGCCGACACAAAAGACCGACCATGAAAATTAAGCCCCAGCCTGAACGGAAGAGGTGCACATCTTCCCCTGCTGTCGCCTCCGAAATCGCAGCCATAAAAGACTCAGTTTAGGATCTTTCTGCCCTTATAAAGTTATGCAGTGCTGGACAACTGAATAAAGAATTTCCACTGCTAATTGAGTTCTCCTCAGAACTATCCCTGTGCAAACCACCAATCTCCCGGGGCATGGGTGACAGGGCAAAGCATAGGCTGCCAGCTGCAGATTTACAACTGACTATTCATCTCTAGCTCCAGTACGCAAATCCTGGTGTCTACGTGTTTTGCCGATAACCGCTAGCAGAGGAGGAAGTACATTTGCTCATAAGCAAGAAGAAAATAAAAGTATTCTTACAGAGAAAGAAGAAAGGCAACGTTGGAAATTGAGACTGAAAAATATACAGCATATGAAATCTCTCATTATAGGAAAATTAACCAGCAACATTCAAATGATATTTAAAATTTCATAACCAAACAAAATACTACTCACTAAGAAAGGTGTATGGAAAATGACTATGCATTTTCCCCATGACATTTAAGGAATTCTTGCCAAACATAGCTTTAAAAAAAAAAAAATCCACATTCTTGTGATCCAAACATCAAGAAAGATTTTATTTTTACACATGTAGCAGCTCTCTGTCCTTAGCAATCATTCTTCTATAAGAGCGTTTGTCCGACATCCCATATGCACACAGAAGAAAACCATAGTTCTTTGTCAAGATACACATATCCAACAAGCAGCTGAAGAGCTAGAACAGCATGTCCAGGTTAAGAAAACACAATTCTAGCTTCTAAATCACTGCACATATATATGTTTGTGGAACCTCCTGGACTGATTATGCCCTGTTGTGCTGTCCTTCTAACAGGTATCAGGGTGAAGACCCCCATGAGGACCAGGGCTTGTGAATGCAAGGCTGCACCTCTCTGTCTATAGAGGGCCTCACCCACTCAGTTTTCCTGGTCTGGTGGCCTGTAGCAGACCCCCACTGTAACGTCCTCTGTGCCTGCTGGCCTTTTAATCCTGACCCAAAAGCTCCCTGGCTGACTTCTCATCCATTGTAAGGCAGATTTCCATGCATTCCAGCTGGTCATCGCCATTGAGGGCCACATCCCATCCTCATCTGGCCTGCCTGTCCTTCATGAAGAGCTTATATCCTTCCATTCCAACATTCCAGTCACAGGAAACATTCCGCCACACTTCCATGATGCCAATGAGATCATAGGCCTGCAGGTGCATGCATGTCTAACTCCTCTTGTTTAGGAGCCACATAGAGGCATTTCAGTTGGGCCCACAGTGAAGGCAATCTGCTGGCTGGAGTGGTGAGAATTCCTTTGTGCTGCTCTTCAGGTACCCTCCTGCTAACCTGTGATCCTTCTCCAGGCTCTGAGCATCTCTCATTGGCACTGGCATCAAACTGGTAAGAGTGGGATGAATTGAGGTTGCTGTCAACCAGACACTTTAGTTTAAAGACCTCTTCACCATCTTGGCAAGCCTAAGGGGAAATCCTGCCTGACCAATTTGGTGGCCTTCTATGATGAGACTATGGAACTGACAGACAGGGGTAGAGCAGTTGATGTCATCTACCTGAACTTGTGCAAAACATTAAACACTGTCTCACACGACATCCTTGTCTCTAAACTGGAGAGACATCAATGTGATAGGTGGACCACTCGGTGGATAAAGAACTGGCTGGAGGGCTGCACACAAAGGGTTGTGGTCAATGGCTCAATGTCCAGCTGGAGACCAGTAACGAGTGGTGTCCCTCAGGGATCGGTGTTGGGACCGGTCTTGTTTAATATCTTCGTCGCTGACATGGACAGTGGGATTGAGTGCGCCCTCAGCAAGTTTGCCGATGACACCAAGCTGGGTGGTTCGGTTGACTTGCTGGAGGGAAGGAATGCCATCCAGAGGGACCTTGACACGCTTGTGAGGTGGGCTGATGCCAACCTCATGAAGTTTAACCATGCCAAGTGCAAAGTCCTACACCTGGGTCGGAGCAATTCCAGGCACAGCTACAGGCCGGGCAGAGAAGAGAACCAGAGCAGCCCTGTGGAGAAGGACTTGGGGGCATTGGTCAATGAGAAAATGAACATGAGCCAGCAGTGTGCGCTTGCAGCCCAGAAAGCCAACCATATCCTGGGCTGCATCAAAAGGAGCATGACCAGCAGGTCGAAGGAGGTGATCCTGCCCCTCTACTCTGTTCTTGTGAGACCTCACTTGGAGTATTGTATGCAGTTCTGGTGTCCTCAACATAAAAAGGACATGGAACTGTTGGAACAAGTCCAGAGGAGGGCCATGAGGATGATCAGGGGACTGGAGCACCTCCCGTATGAAGGTCGGCTGAGAAAGTTGGGGCTGTTCAGCCTGGAGAAGAGAAGGCTGCGTGGAGACCTCATAGCAGCCTTCCAGTATCTGAAGGGGGCCTACAGGGATGCTGGGGAGGGATTCTTCATCGGGGACTGTAGTGATAGGCAAGGGGTAATGGGTTAAAACTTAAACAGGGGAACTTTAGATTGGATATAAAGAAGAAGTTCTTTACTGTGAGTGTGGTGAGGCACTGGAATGGGTTGCCCAAGGAAGTTGTGAATGTTCCATCCCTAACGGTTTTCAAGGCCAGGTTGGACAGAGCCTTGGGTGATCTGGTTTAGTGTGAGGTGTCCCTGCCCATGGCAGGGGAGTTGGAACTAGATGATCTTAAGGTCCT